TAGATGGAGAGGAAAACTGTGATGTGCCACCCAGGTCCCCTTTCAGGACTGAAGGATTTATTCCCCAGCTGCTGTAGTGCTGCCAGCAGACAGCTCTCAGCGCTCAGCATTTTTGAGAATGGCCTTGGCTGAAGAGTCTCCTCACCCAACATCACACCCCCTTTTCAGGACAGGCTTCATCTAAAGACTGGTTGACATGCAGAATAGACTTGCTCCTTTCTCCCCAACTGGGGACAATGATGAAGAGCTATCCCAGCTTTAGAGCTGCCCACAAGGTCAGATCTTATCTGAGACTACATGGCAGCCCAATTTCCCCTATGCCCATTACTACTGGTCCTTTCTTCCCTTCCACCGGGGTTGATCCCAAGAGCACTTTCTAATAACTTCCCACACAATAATTTCCATCTCAAAGCCTGCTTCCTGGGGAACCTAAACTGTGACAGAAGGGTATTCAGGAAAAAATGGCAGCATAACAGATACTCAAGGGAGTGACAAGAGAAGAATATTCAAGTCTTAAAACCAACAGGGAAAAGAGAAGAAAGTACTAATATAATCTCTTTGATTAGGAGATCAGTATTCAAAGTATTCAAAGCAGAAAGGATAGCCTTCAAAATAAACAATATAGTTATAAAATCCCAGACCAACATTTCAAGGTGTATCACCGAACTTGAGGCTGAAAGGGATCTGAGAGGGTTTCCCAATTCCAACCCCTGTCACTTTGAAGATAATGTCTCTTGGGCCCATGGGTCTTCCAAATGCCAATAAATGCTGCTGCTTGGAAATAAAGTTTTCTAATAATAAGTTAAGAGGTACAGTTAATATCCTTTTGTTAAAAATACAGTATTCTGATATACCTTTTGCTTCTGAATCATCAGTAAAGATGTTAATAAAGTCATATAATTGGCTAATCTGGTACTGGCTGGTATATGACTAATCATTGTCCAGAATAGTAATTAAAAACTGGATGGCGGCTGGCTGATTAGCTCAGTTGGTTAGAGTGCAGTCTTGTAACACTGAGGTCAAGGGTTCAGATCCCCATAACAGCCAGCCACCAAAACAAAAAACAAAAAAACTGTACAAACAAAAACCATCTATAATACTGCATATACACACAGGATTCCGGTGACATGGGGCAAATCTAAGTAAGGCTCACAGGTATTTGTTGATTCCCTCAGCTTTCTAAGATTGGGCAGTTCACTAGAAGTAGCCACATGAAATATTAAATATTTGGAATGTGATAGATTTGGTTACTGCACATTTTCCCACAGCTTTTGAAGGAAGCTAGATGTGTACATACACATCTCTACCTGTAACTACGTCCTATATCCCACACTTTATAAACACTAATATAGAGGTAGACAAAATAGGCTGTAATATAAACTGCCAATCAGAATGATCAAATCTGAAATGACATGAGGCCATCTGCACAGATTGTCAGGACAGCCAAGCAGAATGGATCAACAATGTCAATCCACTCATCTTGGAAGTATAAGCAGAAATTCTCTCTCAGTTCCCATACAGTGCAACCCCAGTTCCTCATCTACCTTTCATTCCTTCCTCTCCTAACATTCACTATCTGCTTTCTCTTCTCTAAACCAACCTGCTGTGGACTGAATGTCTCCTCAAAACTTACTGAAGATTGATCTCCATCGTAGCAGTGTTAAGAGGGTAGGAAATCAGAATATGGCAGTGTTGAAAGGTAGGGCCTTTAACTAGTGATTGGATCATGAGGACTAAGCCCTCGTGAATGGATTGATCTATTCATGGATTGACGGGTTATTCGTTTAGTGGCTTTTTACTGGAGTGGCTTTATATGAAGAGCAAGTGAGCATGTTAAAGAGCTCTCAAGCCATTCTCATTATGGGATATGCTGATTGACAGGGAACTCTGTTGAGCTACCACCAAGAAGAAGCTCTCCCTGGCCTTTGGACTTCTCAGCCTCCGAAATAAATTTTGTTTCTTTATACATTACCCAGTTTCAGGTGTTCTTTTATAAGCAACAGAAAACCGACTCATACACACCCGCATTCTCCTTCCAACTTTAATATCTTTTTTAATGGGAGTAAAAAATTAATGTACTACTAATATGAGAGAATCCAAAAGGAGTTTCTAAAACTTCTTTTAAAAAACTCTAAACTACATATTGTCAAATTTAAATTGTATACAAGGTAAGCTAGCTAAATTCATATGGACAGAATGACCCCTTGAATGCTTTAGCATCTCATGTATATGAGATGTAATACAATTCATATTTGGGGAGAAGCATATCTAACTACTAATATTTATAGGCACACAAAAGAGCAAACATGCATAGCATGTAAATGAGAGGAAAAACCAATTTGTTCATATAAAAAAAGGTTAAATGAGTCAGCATGAGTTTGGAGTAATTGTTTGGTCACAGAATCTCGATTACAAAAAAATGTATAAATGAGTACTTCTTGTAATGAAAAAATATAAACAGCCGGACCAATATTATTCATTTGTCCCATAAATTATTTAGAAGAGTTAGATGAAAATTAAATCTTCAAGTCTACATATGGCATGAGTCTCTTACAAATTAGTGAAATACTGATTTGAGAAAGATGAACTGCAAAATTATGTACCAGGTTATGTAAGTGAACAAAACAGTAGTTTTGCCTTAAAATGGCAAAGTTTAGGAATACACTAAGGGAGACATCATGCAAACTTACTTGATTATAGATTCTGAATGTCATTTTCAACCTAGGAGTCACTGTACAGTTCCAATAATACATGATTTTATTTGGCAATTTCAATAAAAAAGCCAACAAATTTCTGGAAAAAATAATGAAAACAACAAAAAAAGTGATTACCTTTTTCTGTTCATGTCATGACCAAAGAGAAGTTTAAAGTGTAAAGATCTCAGCACTAGGAAACCAAAGGCTTGTGTTTATGCACCAAGACTGCCATTTAATAGCTCTGTAACCTTGGGTAAGTAACTAAACCTCTCTTAGCCTCCATTCCTCACCTGAAAAATGAGACCCATGAGACCAATTTGTAAGGTCTCATTAAGACCTAATATTCTAGAATGTTGTCCTAATTCAAATTTAAAAAGAGAAAATCTACTTATTAGATTTTGGCTAACACAGTAATTAGCAGTTTTGCTCTTTTCAATGCAAAATGGTTAATTTTCAGAAAAACAAAATAACCAAATAGTCAGAAAACCTAATGATAAAGGAGGAAAAATTTCAGTTGCTAGGAAGATATCTGTAAACTCACCTCACAAATTATCAAATAAGTTTTTATAGAACTTCCCATTTCCACCGAAAAATACACATTTAAATACAAACTGCTGAAACACAACAGGTACTAAGAACTTCTGAGAGGCAGGGAAAATGAAAGCCTTTAGCATGTAGTACCCATATTTCCCATCATTATTAAGAACCTTCCTCATTTCATTTGACTCAGATGGTACTAGCATTCCATGGAATTGGTTGGGTGAATGCATAGCAAAAGACCTGACAGAACGGTTCTTGTAAAACAGCTTTCTTAAACGTATAATGTCATCCTGAAAACTGTCTTCTCCACAAAAAGTTAAAATCTAAAAAAAAAAAGAGGAAATGACAGGACTACTTCAGCTTATTAAAATCATGAGTGCTTCTGGGTTCTTAAGTGCCATTTAGGAAGAAAAAGGCATTTCATATAGAAGTATCAATCCTTCCTACAGAATTCTTACCTTAACTCAGTAATAAGTCAGGAAATTGTCACAGTAGGTAGGTAATGAGACTTAACCTCTCCAATCTGTAATCATGTGCTACAGCACTAGGAAGGAAGGGAAGAGGGCAAATCAGCAATACAGAAAAGGAAATGTGAATGCTGGTGAGGTGTCATCTCATCAAAAAATCAGGAGAAATGCCCAAGTGTAATTCCAAAGCATGTACCTACTGAAACACTGCAAAAAATCATCACGTATGAGGGTATTCAAAAAGTTTGTGGAAAAATGGAATTAAAAGATAATACAGGGGCTGCCCAGTTAGCTCAGTTGGTTAGAGCATGGTGTTATAGCACCAAGGTCAAAGGTTTAGACCCCCAGAGCCAGCTGGTCGCCCCCACCCTCCCCCACCCTACCCCCTCCAAAAAGACAATACAAATCCTCCCATGAACTTTCTGGAGACCCCTCGTGTATACTTTAACAAGCTAATACTGAGCAAGCAGCCCTGAAAAGTCAAATCAGGAGACATTAAAATAAACAGAAAGAAATGCCTGTTTTCAGAGAAACATTTCAGAAAAAGTTGTGTAAATAGTTGTTAGAATGATATATCTTATGTCATCCTTTGAAAATAAAACCTGCAATTAAATTCGCACATCAAATGATCCTTGAAGCTTGTATGTTGCGAATAACTAGGAGCAACAGAGGGGCTTAAATCAGACAAGCTGTGTCCGTGGCACACAGAAGAACCGCAGTCATATAAAGAGAAGACGTTACAGCAGCACTTCAACACAATGTGAAGCGGAATGCCACAGACACACTGATATTAAATTGCGAGAGGATATAACAGCTTTAAAAGTGGCTTAACTTCTTTGAATATCATTGGACTACAGTTTGCCCAGGCAGCAGAATTTAGTTATAGCCTTTGGCTGAAAACTGTTAATACAGTTAAGGTTTACCCTGATTGGGCAAAATATTAAGGATCACTTTCAAGTTTACTTTCAGTTGATAAAATGTTGATTCTCCAAACCAATTCTTAATGTTTGTTTAGTTTGCAGTTTCAAGACATTTTAATAATAATTTTAATACTAGTATCTAATTCCCTTGCATTCTTGATATGTGCTATGGAAAACAGATTAAACCTATGTGAAGAGATGGCATGTTATGGTCAAAAGAGCCATGGATTTGAAATCTAAACCTTAATTTTTCCCCTGGCTCTACAATATAATGTTACATGACCTTAAACAAATCATTAATATAGGTAATAGAATGCAGTTGTAAAGAACCTGGGTTCATGTGCAAAACAGGTTCGAATCCCAACTCTGTTACTTACAGCTGTACAACTTTGGCCACTTGACTTCACTGTCTGTTTGCTTGTCTACAAAACAAAAATAACAGTATCTTCTTCAGAGAGGCAGAATAACATAATGCATGTAAAAAGCATAGCATAACGACTGCTAACTGTAAGTAATAAATGGTAGATTAGAAAACAACACAACTTCTCTGAGTTTTCTCCTCTAAATAACTCAAATATTTTCTCCTTGCGGAATGGTGCTTAGGAGCAAATGGTGTAACATAAATTGTAACTTTTCACACTGGTCATACTATTGATATAACCAGAGCATACTGTAAAGGATGATCCTTGGCAGTCATACTCTGCAAATTGTTACAAATAATCCATATACCTAATGCTCATAAAATTGGGTGCTTCTCAAAAGCAAATCTGTTCATGTCATTTACCCAGTTAGAACTCTTCAGTATTGTCTGAATACAGTTATGGTAAAATCAAAACCTCATACCACCACCTAAAAGGACTTTCAGGATTTGACCCTTGCCTCAGTTTCCAACTTTGTCTCTTTCCACTTCCTTTTCATTCATTTTGGCCCAGCCCTGAACTCCTTGGACATGTTGTACCCTTTGCCTGGAACTCAATTTCTCCATCCCTTAGCACTTCTCATCCTTTAAGCCTTAGCTGAGCAATGGCTTACTCAGAGAAGCACACCCAGATATTTAAAGTATAAGATTACCCGTCTCCCTGCCTAACCACCTCCCGCTGCTACACACATTACTCTGTATATGAGGACATTTCTTATTTTCTTCCTACCACTTACTACAATTGGTGACTCTGTATGTTACTTATTTGTGGTTTGTCTTTCCCATTAGAATATATGTTTTTTGAGAGCAGAGGCTAGTCTTTGTTGTTTACCACTGTCACTGTATCCCCAGCACTTGGCATAATAGGTGGCATGAAATAGGTAAAGGTAATCAAATTATATGTCAACATGTACTCAGAGTGAAAAGAATGCAAGAAAATGCTATACCGCAAACACCACAACAGAGGAACTCACACTTTCATCATTAACAATCTGTAGAAAAACCACCCAACTGTATACCTGCTATAAGACAGCCATACGCCATTACCCACCCTCAAAAATAAGTCCAACACACACCAAACAGATCTTTCAACTGACAAATAAAACCAAATAGACTTTTTAAAATTCCAGCAGCTCATCTCTAAACAATTTTCCTAGATGGACAGAGCAAAAATAATAAATAAATAATAAAAACACAAAAAAACAATACTGGGAAAACTGTATAATACTCAGAGCAAAAGAACAAGGTTTATAGGGTTCAACAAAAAAATCGTCTGGACGCAGCCAGTTCTGAGAACCAACAGACACAAAAATGTATCTCCAAGTCCCTGAGCACCTTTCCAGTTTGTAGGCACATCTCTCTACATCTCAGCCCATCATTTTTCCTTCTTTGGAATAGTAAATTTTTTTTTTTTTTTGGTCTTTTTTGTGACCGGTAAGGGGATCACAACCCTTGGCATGGTGTCGCCCGCACCACGCTCAG